TATACTTATATGGATAAAGATTTTGATGGATTTGTGGATATTTTTATCACTTTTGTTAATTAGACGAAAAGCAAAGTTTAGACATTGAGAGAAGTGATGGACCGAAAACTCATACAATTAGATGCCTTTCGAGTCCGGCATTGATTTTATTGAGTGTTTAGTTTGTGTTCAGCGTATTTAAGAGACTTTCTCCTCCTTTATATATACAGTATTTACAGTTACGGACTGTTTATAAGTCTCAGACAAAACACAAATCTCTTCTTTTCAATTTAGATCACAAGTGATATAAACGCGAAATCAAACAAAAAAAACTCTAATTTATTTAGTTTCGCAAATAAAATGAATTTTTTATAAATAGCGCTAAAAATCAGTGAAATCAATGGAAATATAAAATACATTTTTGAAACATTCAATTTAAATGTTTCATTAAAATATAAATTAATCACAAAAACACGATTTTATATCGATTTTTACTTTTTTGATACTTTTTTGTTGTGTAGGGAAAGGAAGTATTTAGCCAAAGGCATGAAAACAGCAATTGTCTGTATGTTGTAATGAAATGTTGAGAATTTCATTGCTTTAATGATGTAAACCAAGTGCGGGGGTCATACCACGGCATCTCATAATCGTAGGCGTAGTAGGTTTTTAAAAAAATCAAATTTACTTCAAACAAATTATCTATTCTGGGAGTTAGAGTTCATCCAAACGATACACTTATTTCCGAGAATATGATTCTGTGATTCTGTTAGGAATTTAAACAATTATATTCTGTACATACTTTTATACAATAAATTATATGAATTATTTTTTGTAATGTTAATAGTATGTGAACATGAGAGTAGAATATAATAAATCAGAATTGAAGTAATATTTTTTTTGATAATTTATTCCGTATGGTATTCACTAGATATTATATATTGTGTGTTTTCTAAATGGTATAACTCATAAGTATTTGCTCTTAAGTCCTTTCAAACTGAAAAATTTCTGTTTAGTGTATGCGTTCGAATACAAGCATTATAGGACTATAACCTCTATAGAGTTACAAGTATACCATTGAGTATAATATAAAATAGATGTTTGCATTATATTTCAGCCAATTTTTGAATCAATATGTTTATCCGTATTGAAAGGCATCGGAGTTGTGATCCGCGAAAAATAGGCACCAATTTTTCACTAATAAAACGATGC